AAGAGTGAAGTGGGCCTGGATGTTGATCTGAAATGTATCGTATTTTAATTTTGGGGCTAAAGGCCACCTATATGAGGTGAGTCCACCAGCTATAACAGACGTCACAGTCGATAATTGTATGGAAATAGAACAGCCACAAGGGGAAAGAATATTTTTCTAAACTTATATAGCTCTTATTTCTGCATAATAAGTGTGACAAGAATGGCAGTTTGGGCATACATGTGTGTATGCCCAAACTGCCATTATAAGTTATCCTTTGTCAGGACAATGTGGCAGAATGTCAGGTGCTAAGATCTAGTACAGAAATATAGTTGTATCTGCTAACTCATCCACTCATGTCTGGTGCATTCTCTTAGCTTCAGCAAAGAAATATATAAAAATTTGTGTTAAAAAAGTATGTAAAAGAAAATCCTAGTGAGAGTTGAACAAACTGAACAAGTCTGCATGTGTACCCACATGCAACATTTTACATATTTTTCCTTACCTATGAAACCTGATTGACTTTCTTTGAAATTGAATCAATGACACACATTCCTCATGAATAAGGGCCATGGGAACGGAGTATTGGCCAGCTACTGCAGATGTAAACTAACTCCATTGTAGTCTATGCTTAATGGTAAACTTAAATGGAGAGCAAATTCTATACAGAGTTGAGCCATACAGTTTGCATTCAGTAAATGATAGCTAATGATAGATTATAAAAGGGTACTTTGCTATGTTCTCAAGGCCATCTTGAACCCAGAAGTATTGGCAAGTAATAGCACTGACAGTATAAATGAAAGAAAAATCAGTTTCCCTGTCACAAAAAGAGTTGGGTAAATTGTGGTGAGAGATTATATTTACATTAGACCCTGAATTTTTTTCTTAATTTTTAAAAACTTTATTTATAAAGTGGTTCAGGAGTGTACATTGTTTTGAAAACATATAATAAGACCAGGCCCTTGTTTGCCAAGAAGTTTACCATCTAAATTAAAGATATAACATCATCAGACATGAAAGTAAGATCTGAGAAGGCTAGGATAGACATTTTGTGATGCAAAAATCAGCCCATGGTAAAATGACATACTTATGCTGTGTTTCTCAGTTTAGCAGCTTTTTAAAATATATTTGGGAAAGTTATACATGAAGGTTGGTTAGATTAGACTTAATCTTTGTCAGCTGTGAAATATGACAAAGTGCACTAAAACATATGCTACTAGAATAAGGATTTCAACTTCAGTTGCACTAACCATGTGCATAGCTTTGTGTGTGTATGTATATATATATATCTTCTGATGTTTGAAGGAAGCCCTCTGCTTACAGAAGCTTATGCTGTACATCTCTGATAGATTTAGTGTTAAAGGTGCAAATCTACCTTCCCTTCTGCAGGAATAGGGCCATAGTGATTTTGTAGTCTAGACAGACTTGTTTGATACTTTTTCTGGTTCTGAATGAAATGGGTTGGAACTATAGGTAGGTAAAGAAACAAGGAAGCTCTTATTTTCTTCTAAAACATTCTTCTATATTTGTTTGATAGGACATCATTCTAATGCATATGTGTTTTTTGTACTGCACTTGATTCTTTTGACAAGAACATGAACACAAAATATAGCATTCAAGTTACAGATAAACTATCATCCATCAAATTCTGGTGGCCAGGTCCGTATCTTGATCTCTTTATTTAAAGATACTGACTTAATTTAGTATGTCATTAAAGCTCTTTAATTTTATTCCTTGTTGTTGTTGTAGTTGTTACCATCATCATCACTATCATTATTATTACTATTATTTTTTCATCATAATTTTCTATTTAAATGCATTGTTTGGGATAAGCCCTTTGAGACATACCATTGTGTTTTGTAAGGCCAGTCTCTGAAGTACAGTCATGCAAAGTTTTATTTAATCACAAGTTTTTTTCTTACTTACTGCTCAGCATTAGCTAACATTTTTGTACCCTAATGTATTAGAGTAAAATGGCAAAGAACAGGTGAAACAATAATGAGTCCTGCCTCATGCACGAAAACGTTAACTATTTTTGTTAAACGTACCATATTGCTTTTGACAGGTAAACCCTTAAACTCTGATAGGCTGGATAGATATAACATGGAAATACCTATTTTGGGAGGGGGAGGGAGGATTTGCTTCTCTAACTCCAGCCCTTATTTCTTAGAGTTGGAAGA